TTATGTTGGTAAAAAATATATTATTAACAATTTATTCCTTCAAATTAAAATATATCATAAAATCTATTTTTTATGTAATTATCATTATTAACTTATGTCTTTTTTAGTAATTTGTATATATAAAAGGTGTTTCTGATAACAACTATCCAAACACTTTCACTTCTCAGAATTACTTTTCACAAATCTATTCTTCACAAAATCTATTCTTCCCGAAATCTATTCTCTAGAAGCTATTCTCCAAACCATAGTTTGGTTCATCAAAAACACCTATTCCTTTGAGGTTTTCGGTCGAGTGTATTGTAATATGTTGATCAGAATTTTCCTTTTTTTTTTTTTTTAATGGCATCTTCCTGTTCTTTTTGTCATCAACTGATTCATTTAATTACAACAAGGGCTATTTTTGGAATTGAATTCTGCTTGTACTATGTGCCTTACAAACTCAAATTTTTATATAGTTTGGTTACTCGGACTAAATTGTTCGCAAACTATTAAGTAAATATGCTCTATTTCTTTCAGGTACCCTCCATTGTATATACGCTTTTGGCTGATAGTAGCTGAAAGATCTGACTGAGCGTCGCTCCATTTCTGATCAACTTATCAAATTTTGAGTTGGGTGTCATTCTTTAGCATTCTCTAGTGTAATCACAAATCCAGGGAATGCTGAAAGATGTGCTTGAAAGTCAAAGTTTCTTTATCTGATGTTAACAAGGCAAGAGCTCCTTTCGAGCTGCCCTTGTTCATCTTTGAAGAGGTTGGATGTTTAAATCACTGTCCATGTCTATTCCGTGCTCAAGTGCATGAGGCTGCTATAAATCTAAGTGGTCATTTGATGTCAAAATATGATCTCTGCGAAGATGGTTGAGCTTTGAAGTTCTTCATAGGCAGTTTGCTGCTGCTTCTGGTAAATAAGTTATTTATATATTCTTCTAGTCTTAGTAGCATTGATTGTACAAGAGCTATTAGAAATGGAACCAAAAGGTGTGCTTATGCAACGGTATGAACTGGGGAGATTATTAGGCCAAGGAACCTTTGCTAAGGTCTATCATGCAAGGAACCTTGCTACTGGCATGAGTGTGGCCATCAAGATAATTGATAAAGAGAAGATTTTGAAAGTCGGGATGATTGATCAAATCAAAAGGGAAATTTCAGTGATGAGACTAGTCAGACATCCGCATGTGGTTTGAGCTTTATGAGGTAATGGCCACTAAAACCAAGATTTACTTTGTCATGGAGTATGCAAAGGTGGTGAACTCTTCCACAAGGTAGCCAAAGGAAAGCTGAAGGAGGATGTTGCCAGGAAATACTTTCAGCAACTGGTCAGTGCTGTTGACTACTGCCACAGTAGAGGAGTGTGTCATCGGGATCTAAAACCAGAAAATCTACTACTGGACGAAAATGGGAATTTGAAGGTTTCAGATTTTGGGTTAAGTGCTCTTGCTGAGACTAAGCACCAGGATGGCTTACTCCATACTACATGCGGTACCCCAGCTTATGTTGCTCCAGAAGTGATTACAGAAAAGGATATGATGGGTCCAAAGCTGATATATGGTCATGTGGGGTGATCTTGTATGTTTTATTGGCCGGTTATCTTCCGTTCCATAATTCCAATCTGATGGAAATGTACAGGAAGATAGGCAAGGGGCAGTACAAATTTCCTAACTGGTTTGCACCGGATGTACGGCGGCTGTTGTCCAAAATCTTGGATCCTAATCCAAACACCCGGATATCAATGGACAAAATTATGGAAAGTTCTTGGTTCAAAAAGGGATTAGAAAAGAATGTTGTCGCAGCGACCAGCGAGAAAGAACTAGCTCCTTTAGATGCTGATGGTGTATTTGGAGCTTGTGAGAATAACAGTGGTCCTGTTGCAGAGGCAAAACAAGAGCTCACCAAACCTTGTAATATGAATGCTTTCGATATCATTTCAATGTCTGCAGGTTTTGACTTGTCTGGTCTGTTTGAGGAGACTGATCACAAAAAAGAGGCACGGTTTACATCAAACAAGCCTTCTGCAATTATCATCTCTAAGTTAGAGGAAATCTGTAAGCGCCTTCGACTGAAAGTGAAGAAGAAAGGAGGTTTGTTCAAGTTGGAGGGCTCCAAGGAAGGCAGAAAAGGCGTTTTGGGTATCGATGCTGAAATCTTTGAGATCACCCCACTCTTCCATATGGTGGAGCTTAAGAAGTCGAGTGGCGATACATTGGAGTACCAGAAGCTTCTGAAAGAGGACATTAGACCAGCACTTAAAGACATAGTTTGGACCTGGCAACGAGAACCTCAGCAACTCCAGCAAGATACGGTGCTGCTGGGCAAGATCCTTCACATGCTGCCCCATCGGAGATTGTATCACAATCAACTTCATGAGCGTCGTACTGCACAAAATACTTGTCGCATGCTGTCCTTTCTTCTTTAATTGTCCCAGTCAAGCGAGTTGTCATCACAACAGTCTTGGATTAAAATTTGCTAGTGCTATCTTCAGCTTTTATGGATGCCATCAAAGACCTATGATTTAGTTGTTGTTATTATTATCATTGTGTGTTGTTGTTATTTGTTATTGTTTCTCATATTGGCTACTACAAGCCTTTTCTGCCCTTGGTGGCTCAGAGGATAAAAGAAAGGAGAACAGAACACTAGAAACGGCAAGTTTAAACTCGCTCGAAGATCAGAGCAAATGCTTGGCTGTGATACGCTCAGCCTAATCACAGCCCTTTCATTTAACATATTTATGAAATATCGAAAGAGTAATAAGATGAACAGGCGACATTATAAATCTGCTAGCTTTTCTAACGAGTATTATTACGTTAATTTGACAGATTATTTGACTCCTACCCCTTTACGCCTTCCCAATATCTGTGCCTTCTGCCAGATTCCTCTGAGAAGTGATCCATGAAATGGAATGGTCTGGGCTTCGAATTCGTCGTGCTATAAGATGATGTTTCCATCTATTTGTAAATTAACAAAGTAGACGCTTTACAACAGAACCGACCTTAGCTCAGTTGGTAGAGCGGAGGACTGTAGTGGGAACACTTCCTGACAGATGATCCTTAGGTCGCTGGTTCGAATCCGGCAGGTCGGATGTTTTAGTTTTTACAAAGGCTACACATTTATTTATCTTTCTTGTTACCTTGAACTTATTAATTAATTTTGATGAGATTAAAAAAATTAATTATTTATAATAAATACATGTTATCTTTTCTAAATGCCCATATTAATTATGTGTGCTTGAATCATAAATTGATTGTAACTTTTTAAAATATACAACTATTATAAGGATTACTTGAGGTAAAAAAAATAGATAAGTGGATTGGATCATTATATTTAAAACCATAAAAAAGACCGGAGACAGTATTATCTGATTCTTATTGTATCATTTGCATTAGAACCCCTACCTTCAAGACAGGAATAAGTAATTATTAAGTCCTCGCTGGGAATGGAATTCTATTTTCTCTTAAACAAGCCAGAAACTTCAGCCAAAAAAGGGTGGGAAAATAAGAAATCAGTGAACTCATTGAAGATTCAAATCCATTTCGGCTTTCGAAGCCATCTGATTACATTACAATGAATCGTATGAGTTTTAATATATCATTTTTGGGAAAATTAAACCTGGATAAGGTTTTAATACCATAACGGTATAATTTCCCCAAAAGATCAATCTAGTCTTGTCTTAATATGCTACCTTTGGTCCTTAATATAAGATATTATTTGACTTTTATTTTAGTCCTAAATATAAGACCTCAATCCATTTTGTATCCCATATTTACGCATTTTTTTCTAAGATAGGCCTTCTCATAATAGTAGTTCTAGCCAATATACTTGATTAGCAAGATTATTTTATAAAAAAAAAACAATACCTATTTATTACAAATAACTAATTTAACTTATTTTTTTAATCTCTTCAAATTAATTAACTAGCTCTTATATTTTGAACCAGAAGTAATATGTTGAAAACCGACTTGATGATGTATTAATATATGCTGAAATTGAAACCGACTAGACAATACCTAGGCATGATGAAATATTAGTATTAAAACGTTATTCCGGTCAGATGATCAAACCAATAAATCAAGGAACTGATCATTTGATTGGTTCGATTTGAAGACTTGGGCTTTTTTTATGGAATTTTTTAAAAAAAGGTAACAGTACATTAAAATTGTGCTTTAGTAATTACGTTCATAGGATTAGGTATAATTCATACACAAATAATCTATATACTTATAGATTAATGTTTTTTAAATTTAAATATTATTTTCATAATAATCTATCTAATCTTAGGTTAACCCAACTCGAACCATTGCCTCCACCAGTTTATTAACCAATCCAATCTTCAATACATTGCTAATAACTGCTAGTATCAAATCAAATTATCGCATAAAACAAACCCATTATTCATATTCCGTGACAGAACCATATTTAATAACTAATTAATAATTAAAAATATGAAAAATCATTCATGAACGGCTCAGTTATCAATTTTGTCGCCTGAGATTCACCAGGATATCCGTTGAAATTTTGTTTGGGTCTGAGTTCTAAGTCAACATAATATGATCAAATCATGATTTTGCATTTCTCATGCTTATGAATGAGATCCCAGCAGGTTAAGCATGCTCCGGCAATTTCACACAAGGCAGAATCTGGTTTTTCATGTGGGACAACACCGAATCGGTGCACTGACTGAGGAGAGATTTCAGATTTCAATGAACTATCAATTGGGTGTTTGCAAGAATGGGCTTAACTGTTCAACTCTCCTAAAATCATTTTTCCTAGGCAGCCGAACTATAAACATTGGCCAAACCATAATACACACAGACAAATTCAATCCTAACTAGACACAGGCCGGATATCCAATGTCTTCTCGAAGCGAACAAAATTGACAACTAGAAGCTGATAATAAATTACCCCAGTATAATTAATTATATACCTTAGTCGATAAGATATTTACATGATGACAGTAAGATATAGATTATAATCCTTTCACTCCATCACAGGAGGAAGCTATCGGATAAAATGCATGGGAGATAGGGCTGTATTTTATTTCCTCATCAGCAGAGACCTATGTTAGTATCATTTTCTCATTAGGACATCAAGTGCTGCATTTTTCTTTTTCTTTTTTTAAAAGATCAGAGACGCATCAAGCTCAATTCTCCAAAGGAAACATTGCCTTCAAAAAGGGGAAATCCTTCCCTCGGAGAAAAGAAGCAAAAAATTACTCGAACCAAATGGAAGGCACCTGGTTACCTGTTGGCTCAAAAGGCATAGGCATCCAACATGTATTCCTATCCATGCTACGAGGCATGTAAACATCAATCTCCCTTACATAGAAGAAAGGAAGATACAATGCATCCAGTAATTCTAAACTCTACCAAAAGGAGGCTATTTGCCTCAAGAGAACAGGTTTTTTCTCTCTTTTTTTTTTTTTTTGGGGTCAAGTCTCGTGCCCTGTTACTATCCTCTTAATCAAATGGCCAAAGAGACTGTACATCTGACGCGGGGGGTTGACTTCCAATGGGGTGCCTTCCAACAGATGACTTTCCGACTCCTTCCGCAGAACCATGTATAGGCCATTCTTTTCTGCCAAGTATATAGAAACCGCATGCTCTGTTAGAACCATAACTGTTTCATTTATAATATGAACTACTAATAAATATACGTACTTGGAAGAAATAGCCACAGGGGGTTAAAAACAACTACTGAGATAATTTATATGATCAATGATCATATAGTGTATATTATGAATATGAAGAGAAAGACTACACAGTCCACAACATTGAATAAAGCAATAACAATGCATCGTTGACAATGGCAGCAAAAGCATGAAGCCACAAGCAGTTGGGGAAAAAAAATGGGAAACGAGAAAAGCGCAACAACTGGAGAAGTTGCCAGCTCATGCCCATTTGACATCAGGCATAGTGAGGACTAGTTTCATATGAAATTTTATTTACAATTTTTTAACTGAATATCATTACAGTAGACATGTGATTCTTATTCACCTTTATTAGCTGGACAGAAAACTCCCTGCTACACTTTCCTGTTATACTTATGCCTCCATGCGTTTCAGGTTCAGAGTTAGCAATTCATGATTAACTTTTGCAGCCGGTACTCTCAATAAAGTTATATCAACGAGTGCGGATTAAACTAGGCATAATAAAAATAAATGGCTACGCATTCTCATATATCTTTAAAACCACAGTTTGATAACATGGCAAAAGAGGGGAAAATCTGGGTAACAAAGTATAATAACTAGTCAGTGCAAACTCATCTACCAGAATCATTATGTCATGGAGTTCCGATGTCAATCCACACAATCATACAGATCTCTCCAAACAATCATTTTCCATTCTAACTGAAAGGAACAACTTAAACCTTACAGGAAGAAAACAATTTCTTCGCTTTTATTTGACACTAACAATTCAAATATAGGTTATATATACAATAGCTTCAAATCTCTCTACAAACCAATACATAACCACAGCCATGAATATATAGATGGTGCTTCAAGGAATGAAGGATCAATCAAATAACCCAATTCTTTACATACAGTTAAAAAAAAAAAAAATTGAAGTCTTCAATATCTGAACTCCAATTCTGGCATGCAATTTTACTTTCAAGGTCTAGCAGTAGTAACCAAGAATTTTGGCCGGTTCTCACCATGCAAATCGGATGACAAACAATAAAACCATAACTGAGTGCTTTTATGATACAAAGGTTTAAGTACAGTAGCAAAATTAGCTTCCAATTTTTTAAACATTCACGACTAATGGGCCCCAGGATTTTACACTAGCTTCTAAGTTCCTCTTCACAGGTTCACTAATGCATTCTAGTAAGCAACATTTTCAGCCACCTGGACAGAGCACATCATGCATAATTCTACAGTTTACCTTTATTCACATATAATGATATAAACAAGACACATACGATAACAAATTCAGTAGAAATTCACGAGTTTCCATTGCCAAAGCCAGTGAGACAGTGACCACCAATTTTCAAGTTCTAAACTTCTTCAGGATTCCAAGAAACTATATTACATGCAGATATTTGGCAAGATCATCTTTTGCTTCTGTGATATTGTTTGCTCTAAGGATATATTTATGTCCAGTATAACACGTAAACAAACTCTTAAAATTGTATTTTTCCTTGGCTGAACCAATCAAGCAAAAAGAATATGGGGGTGGAAAAGGTCTCTTTCTATTTAAAAACCAACTCCTCAAGTCCAAAGTTCCAACAAGCAAAGCATAGGCACGTGTGCCCTATTGCTCATTGCTAAATAAGCTAAACTAGAAATGGCTCCCATGCTTTTGAATTAGAATTCAAGATAAGCCGATTTTTTTTATAGCTTATGATCAGCGTTGCTTCCTAAAACTTCTATAGTTCTATTGATCAATGAATTATTGATTATTGACGAACGATGACAATACAAATACAATCAGCATAAATTGGCAAAAGGGAAGGTAGAGTAGGAAGAATAATTCGTCAACAAACAGCAAGCAGAACTATTTAAATGCCAGTTAGGAGTTCCAGACGTCCTACTTATACTTTATCAAGATGAACACGGTACATGAATACTAAGACAAATGCAGAAAAATAGGGATATTCATTGAAGATGCAAGGAAGAGTGTAAATATATCACATAACGGTAAGAAATGCCAAAAGCCAATGAGTAGAGACACTGATAGCGTTTTTAACGACTTTATGGATATATAGCATTGTCCAAAGCTCCATGGCTAAATTCAATAATATCCCCAGAAAGCCTAAGCAACGTGTAGCAGACGTCCAAAAATAAGAAAGTCAAAATTTTGCCTATAGCAACCACAATGTCACTCAATCCCCAAAAGATCATAGAAAGGGATAGGAATGATGGAGGAGTTATTTTGCTACCTCATGGATAAAACATCTATATCAATACAAAATGTTTTAACACGTTTTATTTTAATATACATACAGCAGAGGTTACACAATAGCTAGAATATAAAGGACAGGCAGTTTGTACTCACTTGGACCAACTGTTAGCTGAAGAACCTTCAAGCACATGGGTGGGAGTAGATCCACAAGTGCTCCCATATACCCTTTCACTCTGACCTACACCATCCTGAGCTTTAAGGCTGCCTGACAACGGTGGAAAGAAAGCATTCTGTAACCAAGGATCATAATCACTTGAACCAGTTATAGGGCTGAAGGTCCCACCACTCTGGCCATTAGGAAGAAAAGCATTTTGAGGAGAATGGGAACTGGAAATAATGTTATCATCTTTGGTGAAAAGAGACGCCATAGTTTTCTGAGATGGAGGTTGCACCAGGTCATCCTTGTTTGTTGGGTTCCTTTGAGAAGACAAAAGCCAGCCACCAGGACCTCCAACTAAGCCTAAACCTTCCTGACCAAGAGGAGAGGTATTCCACATCTGCCACGTTCCCTTCTCATTTGTAGTTGCATCCTCCAAAGGAAAAGCACGTGCATCCTGGGCCTTGGGGGTAGTTGGAAATCGATTAGAAGAGCTATGCTTTTCTCGGGACAGTGGTGACTCAATTGGAGATGGCTTATTAACTTCAGAACCAGCAGTAATATTTTTTAAGCAGTGAGGCTTTTCTACTTCCATGTCTGTCACAAAGCCACTTCCCAAGTCTAGCTGAAAATTATCAAGTGACTCAGAAACAGGTCCAAGTAAGGACACTGGATCTGGAACATAACAGGGGTCTTCATATAGCTCTTGCTCTTCGTTCCTAAAGTCATGAGTTCCCTCTCCAACTGGGGAGAAAAAGGGTTCAATTGCAGGAGAAAAACCTAGACTGCTGCTGGCTGGTACACTTGGAAAAGTGGACAGATTAAATGGTGACGGAAGCCCAAAATGGATTGGATTATCAAATAATGGCGCAGATGATGATGGGCCAGACTGCTGGGGGCTTTTGACTTCAGATTGGCTTTTGGAATTAGGTCTGCATATCACATTTGAATTTGAATTTTGACGCACTGACGAGGATCGAGTAAATAATTGCTGCCATGACTTTTTCGGAGCTGCCCATGGCTGCTGTTCTGGGATGACCTACAAACAATAATTCACCATCGTAACACTAACACCGTTTTCTTCATGCAAAATTTGTCAAGCTCCAATTATCATGAAAAGGAATGAACCAAGTAGCTAACATCAAGTAAAAGACTTCTTCAAATTTTTGGGTGATAAGATTGTATTATCAAATGATTGCATCATAAAGAGCAGGTAATTATTATTTGTAGATCACTCAAGCATCATTGAGAGCCTGGTACCAGAACAACATCGTGCTCAGGTTTTGTGGGAGAAAGAAAAACAAAGAGAGGAAAACTTACAGTGTGATTCATGTTCTTAATATCTGCATTCGTATTTGACTTTGCTGTTGGACGTTCAGGTTGGCATAAATCTCTCCTATTGGAAACATTATGGGCATGATCTACAGAATTGAGGAACTTATTTTCTTTCACCATGGTAGCAGGAGTATTAGCACCTTTTCCAAAACCAAATGCCTTAGAAGAAGACAAAATAGTACCCCGCATGCGATCAAGGTACCTAGTTCCAGTACTCCCTCGGTTATAATTGTTTGCAGCAACATTTTTATTATGAGTATTGTCTATACTCTGCCCCTTCCCACTCTCAAGCCCAGATTTGTGATGCTCCCTACGATCAGTTTCACCCTTTTTATCAAGGTCCCTCTTCAATACACTTTCCTTGCCAGATTTCTTTTCCAATTCTTCTACATCAGAGTTGCTCTTACTGGACCCTTTATCTTTATCTTTCCTTCTTTCCTGATGCTTCTTCCTATTATCCTTCTCCCTAGTGGGAAGTGATGATTTGCTGCGATCTTTTTCAGCTTCCATTTTCTCATCTCTAAGTCTCCTACGTTCCTCCACCAGCCTGGCAACTTCTTCCCTCTGTTTTCTCTCTTCCTCCTCCAAAAGCTCCTTCTCTAACCTAGCCTGCCTTTTCTCCTCAGCCTTTCTCCGTGCTTTTTCCCCTCTGCTCTCGTGAAGGTTGGCCCCATTCTCACCCCGTTTTGCTAAGAGTGCCCTATGTTCAGCATCAGATGAACATTCCTCCCTTGATGAACTAACTCTAAAAATCTTTCTCCAGAGCCATCTAATGCTCAAGAAAAATGATGTCAAAAGTTTGCAAGAAAAAAACATAATACCAGAATACGACTTATCTGTCAAGCTATGCTCGTCTCCTCCAAAAAGACCACTTTCATTCATCCTCCAGCCGCTAGGCTTACCTGCAACAGACCCACCAGCCCAATTGCCATTCTCCAACCAATCCTGACCACATATCCATCCGTTTTCAGACCAAACTCTGCCATTTAATATCTTGCCACTTTTACCAACAAACTCCTTGACAATATTAGAGTTCGAAATCCCCAACCCTGGTGGTACAGGCAAGTCTAAAACTGGTCTCTTGGAAATATGCCCACAATATGAACACATAAACCGACCGCCACCAGGGTTTTGATCCCTATACGGATTCAAGCAGTTCCGACAACGTCTAGTCGCTGTTTTACGAAGCTTCTGCATTTCTATTGCCTCAAACCTTTTTCTCTCCCTGAGCCGTGCATTCCTTCGCACACGCCAAGCTGACAGCTGAGGCATCAAAACCTCATACCAGAAGAGAGTAACCAATAGCACAAAGACACACGCCAGCCGCGGTGAAGTAATCTCAAACCTAAAAGCAGGCGGTAGAAGCTGAGAAACGGCCCATAGTCCTATTAACGGGATAACCAACCAAGGCAGCATTGTAGCAACCCGGCGAGACCACTTCTGGATCACACAGAGTATACACATTATCCTTTAAACCTCGCCAATATTCCCCGTATCGGAATCAGACAAAGCAAACCCTAGGAAGAAACAAAGTCCCCAATATATGTCCTTCTTGAATATAATGCTTCCAAGAATAAAAACCCTAAACCTATGTTACCCTCCTCCAAATCAATAATCAATACAGCAAGACACGGAAACTTCAGAACCCTAAAAGCCCAAGAACGAAATGTCCCAAATCTTCCAAAGAAAAGAAATTACCCTATCCCCCGGTTAATGTTTCAATAGTCAAAGGGAAATCCAAGAACTTCGCCCAGAAAACAGAATAATGATGAGTATACCAGTTGGGGCTCCTCTTGCCGCGTTGAAGTCAATCGAATGGGAAATGAAATGGGAATCCTACACCTTCAGATTCGGCGTTCATGGCCACAACAAAACGACCAATACCCTCCGAATGGTAGGCGATAAAGCACCACCACCTGCACTGGTACGGGGCGGCCGGAGCTGAACTCGTGTCGTCCGATTGGCTCTGAAGAGCGAAGAGAGAGAAAGTATGCAATAGAAGAGAGAGAAATGACGCAAAAATAGATAAGAAGAGAGATGAAGAAGAAGAAAACCAACGGAATAAATCAAATCAAATTATATAAGCTATCACTGAACCGGGGTAAAATAGATTGGACCGGTTCAGTCTGGGTGACGGTGAACCGGACCGGGTCTTGAAGAGTCCAAGGATGGCGATGGATGGAATTGGAAGGTCCGGAGGTTTTTTTTTTTTTTTTCCCTTGGAGTTAGTTAATTAGCCACACTTAAATTTATTTATTGTCCATAAAAAAAAAAAGTGACTATTTGATTAATTATTCTCCTCCAAACATATTTAATTTAATTTAATGCTATAAATGAATTTATACTTACAATTACATATTACATTTTTTATAATTTTTTAATTAAAGTATATATTTAGTCTTACATAAATAAGGTTTCAGTTTAGTTCCTTAATTTTAAAAGTATACTTTTAGTCATTGAATTTTAAAATTATTAAGCTTAAATAATTATTTTTTATAACAATCATGGTTCTTTTAAAAATTAAATTTAATATGTTAACATTTAATAATATTTTATTAATATTTAAAAGCTTAATATCATTATTTTTTGTTAATATTTTTAGGATTAAATAACTTAAAATTTACTTTTAAAAATTAAACGACCAAAATGAAATCTCAACTAAAGTTAAATAAGTGAAAACATAACTTTAGCCTATTTTTTTTTACCATGAATGTTTTACTAGTTGACGCCATAAAAAAAATATTCTTACGGACATTTAAAATCATGTTTCTTAAATGAAAAAATAATTCTATTGATTAAGAGAGTTTTATCGTAGCATTAAATTAGTGTTTAAAATTTATTGAATAAAATAAAAATAACAAACATGCTAGTTTATTACTAGTAAATAACAAGGGAAGATGAAATCAAAAGCAATTATATTAATTTAATTAATTTTTTTAGTGAATTAGCACATATTAACATATGTTAATTCTAATGGAATGAGCTGTATTATTATTTTTGTATGAACTTGTAAATTAGAGTTAGTTCATAGAAATCATAAATGCAAAATACACACTAACACCCCCCAATTGAAATCAATATCTTAATTGGTTCGAGAATCTTCAAATCTAAACCTTAATATTAAATATGAAATAACTATAACCACGAAAAATCAGCACATAAATATTGCAATCTATAGAATTTAAACACATTATATGATTGCAAAAACAAAATATGGAAAGACTCACGTAGCAAATTTTGTTTTATTCATGTACAACGAGTTTGCTTACATATTTATGTAAAAAGAGACTAAAAAAAAAGATAAAATATAAAAAAACAGTTACTCTTGTGATTATGTGAAACAATAATTTGCTAACACATTTTCTTTTGCCCATCAGGAACTTCTAATCCCACCTATTGCAGTATTGTATTACTCTCCCAGTTGTTAACATAAAACCCATTTAATTAATTTGATTAGATTAAGGAAGTTAGGTAAATTAGTTAATTATAAGAAATATGACACATTTTTTCTAAAATACCATAATCATCTTTTTTAATACCCAATCTTCCTCTTTTACTTGATTATGATTGAAAGAGTATCTATAGAGGTAATTTAGAGAAAATTGATAAATATGAGAAATTGGTCTTATTTTTAGGACCAAAATCAACTCAACAATTAGATTTTATATTAAGGACCGGGGGAGTATTAACATGCAACCAAAAAATCATACTATCATTAATATTATTATTAATTAATATCAGTATAGAATATGAAATTTATAGGATGAATTGTCATATTTACAAATCATATGATGACTATGTTTCATGTGTTACAATATTATATTTACATGAAAGGATGTGTGGTGTTAGATGTTAATGCAGGATTTGGGACAAGATCGAGGCATTTAACAATTTAACAAGTAAATATATAACGTGTATTAAAAAAAATAAAATGTAAGTATTTTCTGATAAGTTTTAATTTCATCGGATAAACACCACTTGACTGAGTTTAATACTATCCTCCATATTGTTGAACGAGGAGTTTCATTCTGGTCAAAAAAAAAAAAAAAGGACAAGGAGTTTCATGACCTTTCCCTAAAACTAGAAGCTACCACGTAATATTATTAATATTAAAAATCCCTTGTAGTAAAATATTAGAGAGTATTACAATATTTTATCATAAATACTTTCCCATCCTTAATGCCAGAACTATTTTAATAATTTGAATAGATCATAAGAAAGCTAAATAAATTATTATTATAAAAAAATGTGACATGATTTTTCTGTAATATCCCTGTAATTTATATATTAAATAAATTAGTTTGAAAAAATTAATAAATATAAAAAATAAAATAAATTGATGTGTTATATTTAAAATCACTATCAACGCTATAATTAGCTTCTATTTGGAGGAGTATTAAATTTCATTCAAATATTGATAAATTAGCAAGTTCTATAGTTGGATGGTTAATTTTCTGAAAACTCGTTCAATATGTGTTTCACAAACATTTAGTGCTTATTTATTTTTCACCGAACAATTTATAAAATTTAGGAAAGTTATTTCAAAAACTGCAAAATATTATAATTAAAGTCATTTCAAATTGCAAGATCCTTTTGCTTGTTGAGAAAATTAATTGATGTAATTTACACTTACTTAATATCTAAGAAGATCTTTATGACCAAAAAAAAAATCTAAGAAAATCTTGCAGTTAAATTTTGACCTTGTGCGAACACGAAGTTGCGGGCTTGAAGCCTGGGAATTTTTTTCCTTTTTTTTTTTTTTGGGTACCATCTTGAAGCCGAGCATGAGTATACGTGTCTGTACATGTACAAACACACATGTACGCACGGACAGGCACCGGACGAAGGGTGAACTTGTAATTTCATGAAAGGTGGTGAAACGTGGCGCCCACTGATTCAGGGGCATAGGAAAATGAAGGCGGTGGGGACTACAGATTGCTCCTTAACTTGTCGAGCTGATTACTTTAATATTTAATTACTTGAAGGTATTCTTGAACGAGGGATCATGGGCATGTGCTTTTCAGGATAAATAAGTATCATAAATGATACTCCTCTGATTTTTAATATAAAATCTATTTAACTAATTTGATTAGATTAAAAAATTAGATAAGTTAGTTAATTATAAAAAAATATAATCTGTTTTTTCTAAAATTAGTTCTCATAAGAAAATTTCTATGCTCATACAAGTAGGGAGTAAAGATAAACTTGGTGGGGTCGGTGAAATCTATCATTTATATATAGTTCATTTTTATAAAAGATTAGTTTTAATAATTAAGAATTGTTAATGACAAGTGGTTTTAGTTGTAGCATCATCCATTATGCTTTGATAAGGTATCAAAGTCAAGTTTAGTGTTGACATATTTCTGAGAATTTGATTTTTAATTCTTGTGTATAAAGTAAATCTAGGTAGAAGATTGAAATGTGTATTTGGCTGTTATCAACGAAGCAAATCTACCAAGAAGTTATCACTTTTTGTTGGATAAAGAGAAAGCAATACTATCAAAAAAATGTTTTACATAGCAAAATAATTTAGTATGTAGAAAGAATTGCTAAACATGTCAAGGAAAAAAAAAAAAGATAATGCCACAATTTTAATAGAAGTATAGGAAAAATCACGAAACAGTGACAAAATTTCCGTCAAGTTACAGTAGATGATTGAATAGGATTAGCAAAAATTCAAATGAAGGACTTCTAAACAAAATTGATTGTGAGCAACGGTTTGGATTTAATATCTATTACCCCTTTCCTCTTTTATTATAGGATTTAATTTTTTGAATGGGTTTATCCCTTTTTATAAGATCTTTTTTGAGTTTTTCTGAGCATTTAATGCATTATTACCTATTTATGTCTAATTTAATACATTTTCTTTCTTTATTTATTTCACTATTACCCTCTCATATTTACCCAAATATAAGGGTATATTTGAAAAAAAAACTACATTTGTTACATATTAATTACTTTTAACTAATCTTAACTATTTTCTTAAACCACGTAATTTAGTTAAAAGAATCTTATAATGAGAGACAGAGGAGTATGTAAGAATTACGAAAAACTTTTACCCCGTCAAAATAAAAGAAAAGAAAGATTTTTTTTTTTAAAAAAAAAGCCAAACACTTACAATTCATTATATTACGACTTAATTATAAAATCGCCGCCTCAAAATTTACATTATACTTGAATTTTCTCCAAGCTTTCTTTGTTATTAATTAATGATACACATAATTTTCTTCTACATCTTTTTTTTTTAACACTAAAATAAAAAGTGCCGGGCACTAGGTCCATTTTTTTATATTATTTCCCTTACTTTTGCGTTATGCCAATTTTGTCATTATTTTGCATACGAATAAAATAATATACTAGACACAAATGGAAAAGTTATCTGATTATTAAGTTAATTGAGTTAATGGGAAGAACCTAATACCAAGCTCTTAAGTGATTAAATCCATTTTTTTAATTAAATCGGTGGGCATAACTTAAATGAGACGCCAGTGTTTAGCTATTAAAAAATGGATAAAGCCAAGAACAAAGTCCCAAGAAGGAAATAAGCCATTCAATTCCAATGCCACTTGTTTAGGAATTTCTTTTGTTTATTTTTTTTAGTAAAATCTTTTGTTTAATTTGAACAACACATCATGAGAGAATAAACGTGTAAAAATATTAAATCTTAAACTAAATTTACTAAAATAAATTTGTGCCCATAACAATTTATAAGAACAACATAAAAAAAAAGGAATACTTAAATTACAATTTCAGCCCTTTGAATTCTTAAAAATCAAACAACCAACAAGTTTGTAACTCTGAAAGTATAATTAATTCAAAGTGCAATAGATTGTGATGTGCTTCTTATATATTTTTCTTGTCTCCTTTGGGGATTTCAATCGCAAATTTCCATTCATGAGATTATATTTGTAATTCTCTTCGTATCTAAATCTAAATATAATAACAGATTCATATTGACACAGATAGTGATAAGAAGTACTACCTCCAATCTTTAATATAAGACCTTGTTTAATTTTT